GTTCTGTCGAAACATGTCTTTGAAACTTAAAAGTTTTGGCGTTTTAATTTCTTTAAATTCATCATGAGAGATGTATACCCAAGGCTTCCAGTTGGAATTTTATTTTATCGCAGCCACAGTAAAAAAAACTTCGGAGTTCGCTGTACACGTTGAAACATGTACACGAAAGAATAGTGAATCAAACAACTCGACCGAATAATCACGGAATGTAAAGTACTTATAGTGAAAAGCATAATTTAGTTGATGCTGATATTTATAGATTTAAGACAAACACCTTACAATTGATATTGCTCACCTTTTGTCTTTCGTTCATTATATGCTCAGATTTAAAATGTCAAAGGTGATAGCACATTATCCAAATTCGTGAAGTATTTTACTTGAAAATATTTCCTCAAGAATTATGAATTCAAACCTTGAATTGAGTAAACCTTACCTAATTTTTCGATCACTAGGTTTTTACAAGACTAAATTGTTCATTGAAAATCATGCAAACCTTGAATTGAGTAAACCCCACCTACTAAATAGTTCATCTACTTGTTGCTACTGTTAAAGTTAAAACTTTCCGCTCTAATACCAGAAACACTTTTCCTGCAGACAACATTTATCAAATTAAAATCTTCCACCGTATCCCGGTATTTCGCTCGAAAATATTTTTACCTAGTATTTTTTCACCGAGTTTTACAATCGTTGATTGACAACTCTAATCAAGATTGCAAGAGACACTTGAATGAACACATCTAGTGCTCAAAGTGTTCAAAACTTCTTGTGAAAAGCTATTAGTTTTTAAAATAATCTAGACAGAAAGAGGCATTTTAAAGGATTCAGCGATCATGAACTCTGGAAAACCATAGATAGCAGGTAACTTCATTGTGGTCAAAATTGGATAGATCTAATTACTGATCATGGTTAACATGAGTTTCGTATAGCCATATATGGTTGCGCACCTGTTTCAGCACAAGCGGTATCGTTTTAGATCAAACTCACAATAGATTGAGATTCCTGAGATGCTTTACTTCACTTACACAATTGACTTTGATTGACTTGCTTATCTAGACAGCAATAAATAGGAATCTCGGCTTTACTTGCAACTAGTTTTAGCTCACTGAACTGGCCATTAATTACTGAAGTCAGTGCAACATCATGGCAGAAAACCTAACATACAAAGTAATCGTTTGCATCTTGTTTACACTCCCGCTGCTTTTCCGCGTTCAAGAAGCTAGTGAGCAATCGAAATACTATCGCTTTGGAACAAAAACAGCGTACCACTACGACAATGCCACGGCTTCCACCCGGAAATTCCCTGGAGGATGTCGGCCAGTTCACCTCAATATGGTGTTACGACACGGATCTCGATATCCAAGCAAAGGCGACATAAGAGACTCCAGTGATCTTCTGACCAAACTGAAGAAAATCCATTCTTCACCCGTTTTCCGCTACAAAAACGTGAACATATCGTTCAACAAACCACCTGAATGGGAAGACGCTGAGCCAAAGGAGTTATCGTCTGCTGGAGAGAAAGAACAATATGACATCGCTAAGAGATTTCTATCGCGTTTTCATGACGTCTTCGACAAGAAATACTGGAACAAGTATTACAAGTTCGTTTCCTCAGACAGGCCTCGTACCGCCCGAAGTGCCATGTCATTCGCGTACGGACTCTTTGAAGATAAAGGAAACGTATCCTCATCAAACTTCCAACCAGTTGCTATAACATTTTCCGGTGACAAGGATAACGATAAATTGCTGCTGCCTTACGATGCCTGTCCCCGGTACGCAACTGATGTTGTACACCAAGGCCTGGGAGAGGTAGAGAAGTTCAATGAAGGCCCGGAAATAAAGAACCTAACAAAGCGACTTGAGGAGCGACTTCAGATAACCGGAAAGCTTTCACTGACTTTTGACTTTGTCGAAAAGATTTTCAGGCTTTGTGCGTTTGGTTTCATGAATCGTAGGGACACCAGCTGGTGTTCCCTGCTCGAAGAAGAGGATATTAAGGTACTGAAATATCAAGGCGATTTGCAAAACTATTACGAGCATTCCTATGGGAACAAACTCAGCTATGAGATAATCTGCCCTCTTCTCTCCGATATCATCCAAAATCTGCGAGATTTCTCCACGAAGGAGACTGAATTCCACGGTGTATTTCGGTTTACTTCGTCAGGAACGGTAATTTCCTTGTTAACAATGCTTGGACTCTTTCAAGATACCACACGCTTGCGGGCCGACAACTATCAGCAGAATGACAAGCGAAACTTCACGTCAAACCTGGTTCCCATGTCCGCCAACGTCGCTGTTGTCTTGTACGCGTGCAACTCCACAGAAACGGCGGTAAAGTTACAGGTGTTGGTGAATGAGGAACCCGTGGCTCTGCCATGTTGCGATGGAAAGATGACCTGCAGCCTCGACGAGTTTCTGTCTTATTTTAAGGAGACTGTGGATAGCTGTGATTTTGATGAGATGTGCTCCTTGCCTCTCGTTCCTCCTACAGGCAGTCCAACAACAGCCTTGGCCCAAATTACTAGTCCGCGGCTAGGCTCAATTTTTTTATTGTTATTAAGTTTTGCCGCCTTTTTTCTTAAAATCTAAGGAAGACGCAAGTTAGTTTCATTGGTTGTTAATGACCAATACACAATCAATAGTGTTATAATACACTATTGAAATGATCTTCTGCTTTATAGAGCATGATCCAAACAAATCCAATCCACCGACATTTTATACGCAGTTGACCCACTTTTTTCCCTTAGATCCGGAAGAGCAAGATCTGGAAACTAGCTTATTTAATGTAGAAGAGTCTTACAATAATTGCACCGATCAAAACTTTTAAGGGTAGAAGGCAGAAAAAAAAAAGAAAAAGAAACACATAGCTTTCACTTAGATGGATTAAATATTAGAGAGAATCATAAGTGGTTTACTATTAGTTCTCTGTTGTCTTTGGTCAGTAGGTTAGGTTTAACGTGTCATATAATTAAGACATGCAGCATAACATTAAAAGGAGTTCATTCGAGATTGGTTTCATTGTGAGTAATGCTTCACCCAATGTGAATTGGCCACTCTTGCGTGAAAAGACTTTACATATCTCCCTCTGAAAGGTAAACCAAGATCACCAGACTTTTCAAAGTATCTCCTTTATTTTATCTTTCATTTTATTTACTTTTTATTTGATTTTTTATTTGATTTGATT